TTTACGTGCTTTGCGAGGAATGGGGGTTAAACACCGCCAACTTCCTAACTCCGGGCTGCTTCTGAGAATTTCTTCATAGGAATACCCAATAATTAATTCTAGGTTTCGAACCCTCGATCACATGATCGGCAGACGCGCTGACGACTACTAGACTAACGGGGCAGTCAAATAGTCACTCGGATTCAAAGACAGATGTTGGCAAATTATTCGACTCTATTGTTGTACCTGTCACTTCGCATTACGAACGACGAAGCATACAGCCGAAGCAACAGAGGCGGAGACAGGCCGAAACATTTCGTTGTCCGATTGTGGCAGGAAGAGGGAGGAATTATGGTTGTGCACGCTCTCCGAAATGTATTCGGTAGAACACATTGGCTATAACCAGATTAAGGTCACCAATTTTATCTCTTAACACAGCTTTCAGTCCAAAACTATTAGGTGGCATTTTGCAGCACCAGCCCATAAACGGCAGCCATACTCCATATACGACAGAATTTGCGCTTTATATAGAGTAAGCATCTATTGTGCTTTTATTTTAGTAAATGTTTCTTTCTGTGTTCATCCGCTTAGTACTAAAAAAAACGCGCCACTGTACCTCATTGTTGTGTGGAAGCTGTGTTTGGAAGTGAGTTATTTTTTTTTTGCCCATACGCTTGTTGAAGTAGATTGCGGCGCTCATACGCTAAAACTATTGATTTTATAAAAAAAATAAGGTTATTGCATAAATTATAGAAAGTTTTCTCTACTTTGAATTATTATATAAATGTTTTTATTGTAAAATGAGTCTGAAAGGACAATAGGTACCCGTATTGTGAGAAAACTCTTTTAGGCGTCATTTTCCAATATGGCGTCGCGAGCGACAAAGATACGAGGTGGCGAAGTACAAATTAGGAAAGAGCACATCGAAATCTATAAAAGTAGGGTCGTTGCGCCGGTAAGCCTAGTTTTCGGCCTTTGGCACCAGGTGATGCAGTAAATTTGATTTAATAACGATTTTAATAAATATTATCGTCCAAACTTAAGTTTAATGCATTTGTAAATAGTTGCATTATATATTGCAACATTACTTCATTGGGTAAACACAACACGCGATTTATAATAAATAGTTCAGTTTGACGCCGGCACAGGTGCTGTCAAAGAGTGTAAGATCGTGCAAAAAAAAATAGTGGCGCGCGTTTCACTCAAAAGTAAATCTTCCGCTGTATTTACAATGATTATTTAATATTGTGCTTATATTTCTAATTTTCTAATATTTTATTGTAAAAGTTAATAAATTAGGTGGCCGGAAAGTGACACATAAAATTTTCCTATTATTTGGTTATCGGCCATGTGGCCGGAAAGTAGCCCGAGTTTAGCCTAAATACTTTGTCTCTTTTATTTATTTCGTTACCTACTATTAGTCTTCTTTCTTATTTATAATGAATTGTGTCCTTGCGAAGACACTAGCTTTCAGTTATCGGCCACCAAATACAGCAATTTAAATGGTTATTGATGAAACTAAAATACCCATTTTAGTTGTGGCCGAAAACTAGATTGAGTCTAAAATTATTATTTAGTTTTCGGCCAACTTAAAATGTATGAAAGAATAGGGAAGCCGAAAATTGAATACTGCTTTGGTTGACGGACATTTCATGAAATATTTCATTCACGTTGCATTTTAGGAAGAAGATTCAATAAGACATTATTTTCTTCAGATGGCTCCTCCAAAGAAAAATCCTCCAAAGAAATATGGTTAGTAAATGCTTTCAGAAAATGTGAACTTAATGAATTTGATCAACATGGAGTGGATTACTCAAAATGTGTCCGGAATACCCCGGAAAGACTAATTAGTGAAAATTCAGACACCAGAAAAATATATTTCTAAAGAAATAAATAACGCAGACCTAGTTTCCACAAGAAAAGTTTTGAAACATTTAAAATCAAATCTGGCAGAAAAAAAACATGGATGGCGATGTTCTAGTAACTATGAATTCATCTACCGATGCATTAGAATCGTTTATCGATAACAACATTTCAATATTGCATTTGTCAGGAAGTTTTTTGGATATCGGTTCCTTAGTATCGTTAGATGATGTTCTTGTAATCCCAACTCAAATAAGCCTACCAATGACAACAGTACTGACAATGCCGGAAATGGTAATAGATTCCAGTAATGCAATAATAACGACTCAAAGTAGTACAATGGCCACGATGATACCACCATCACTAACACCGATGATAACAAATAACGCCTTTGAAACTTTAAAAAATGTGTTGGTTGATATTCCAATAAAACCGACTGTCTATGTCTGTCAGTACTATTAAATAAAAAATACAGAGATGCGATAGAAATAACATTTATTTAAACCAGAACTCGTAAAAAATCAACCATTAACAGTACACGTACACCTTCTTCTGTAGCAATTTGATATGCATAGTGGCGAAAACTTTATGAAGATAAAGAGAAAGTTAAAGTAGAGAAGTTAGAACTTAGTTAAAAAAAGATAAGATATTTTGAAAAAGAAAAGAATATAAAAAGAAAACTTAACAAGTGCTAAAGTTCAAAAACGAAAAATCGCAAAATCCAAGAATTCCATGAAGGAAAATGAAAGAGTAAAAGTAAATTGCACCTGGTGTTATGACATTTTAATAAGCGATATAGAAGAAGATATGGAAATAAAATTGAATGTGACTTTTGCACCAAATGGATTTGCGATGTATAGATTTTGTAGGACTAAAATATGAGGCAGTGTTCGGTAAATTACAGCACTGCTGCTGCTGCTGCTGCTGACCGGATGAGGAAGCTCAAGGTTGCTCAGCGAGCTATGGAGAGGGCTATGCTCGGAGTTTCTCTGCGTGATAAACTTAGAAATGAGGATATCCGTAGTAGATCCAGAGTGACTGACATAGCCCAACGGGTTAGTAAGCTGAAGTGGCAATGGGCCGGCTATATAGCTCGAAGAACCGACAACCAATGTGGAAAAAGCTTCTCGAATGGCGGTCTCGTAACGGTAGACGAAGTGTAGGGCGTCCTCCCACTAGATGGAGTGACGACCTGGTAAGACATGCAGGAAGTCGATGGATGCAGGTGGCTCAGGACCCTGTTTTGTGGCATTCCTTGGGGGAGGCCTACGTTCAGCAGTGAACTTGTGAAGGGATGTAATGGAAAGGCTGATGATGATGAAAATATGAGGAAGTACAAAAAATGAGAAGATTTGATTGCCATAATTAACGACACGAAATTTCATTATGATTTTACAAAAATTATATTAAGTTAAGGTTAAGGCACCTTTTCTATCGTGTCTAATGTAGTGGCCGAAAACTAAAATTCTTGTGGGCCGAAAACTAGCATTTTACATATTTTTCACATCAAAAAATTATTATAAAAAAGAGATTTTTCTTGTATCAATGAGTTACAAAAATGAAAACTACATTATGTAAGCTACAAATTAACATTAACAGCACTAGTCCAGCATAATGGCAATTATTTTTTCTAGCACCTTAAAGTTCCACTAAAAGGCCGAAAACCAGCGCAACGACCCTACCAATTTTCAAAACTCCCAGAAAACTTTCCAGGTAAAACTACCAAATGACTGGTACTACCGAGTATAACTATACAAACAATCCCACTTAAACCATTTTTGTATCGTAAAACTAACATTGTCCGATTTCATCCCTCGATTAATTAATATATTATATTAATTAATCGAGGAACGTTTCTATTTAGATCAAACAAATTAACAAAAAGAATGCGACAGGCAAACTTGAGTAGCCTTTCAACAAGTGTGCTGAAAAATAAAACTTAATTTGGTGCAGTAGCAATGGTAGCCCTAAGGCAAAGCCACAATCATTAACACAGATTGCGGTTCGTTCACGCAGAGTTCGTGAGGCGCCGTCGCAGTACCCCATTTAAAAGGCAAATACGGTCACGATGCGCTCACGCGTTTGATATCTCCTTGATAGACGCTTGTGTAATGTGCTCCTAATTTAAAGTACGCAGCTTCATCATTGTTGTACTTGGGATAAATCTAAGAATATCTCATTTTAAAGTTATAACTTATTTCATATATTTTTTATATTTATAGTCCTAATAAAGAATTTACCGTGTGGAGGCGGCGTAAGGAAAATATATCATCACATTTCGTGTCATGGGTGTCGTATGAATCGATTATAGAAAATGCCAACTACATCTTATAGCTTCCGATAGATGGCGGTAAAATCATTTCGTTTGCGCCAGACGTAAAATACTCTGACCGGCAACGAGGGACAACATCAAAGGTGCGGGGTATTGCAATCGTCAATCCAAGCCAAGCGTGGCAAGCCCCTACTAAGGAAGCAACCCATGTCCACAATGAACTAGCTGATGAAAAATAATAAATACTTATTTGTTAATACGACGTAGGGATACAACTAAAGAATTTCAGTATAGCCAGTTTGCGTTGCAGATTAATTTTCGAAACCAGTTGGACGATCTACATTGAACTCGCATGATGCTACCACCGATTACATAAGCGAACAACGAACCAATCGAACAACGGCATTATAGTCGTCGCCTCCGCGATTCACTTTATACCGCCAGGCAGACCTAAAAAACGTTTACTGCACACGTGAAGGTCACCGCTTATAAACCATCTGTTATACGTAGCCGTTGCGACATCATTCTGAAGCAACAAATCATATCGACATTTTTATAGTATTAAAATAACAAATAAGTTAAAAGTCCACTTGACGGTGATTGCAGATAAAGAATGATAAGATACCTCAGTAGACTTCATTGCGGTTGCACCCAGGCCAGACGGTCTTCTAGACTAAGGCGGAGCCCAAAAAGCTAATAATTTCCCTTATTCGGTTTTTTGTGATACCCATGGATCGACGTGAGTTGATGGAACTTTCTAAGTTCAATTATGCATTGCATGCAAATGTATTAAAATATGTCCGTTGTGATTTCAGACTGAGGGTTGTGTGGCGGGTGCGCGGGCGCCACGGATGCGGCGCGGGCGTGCGATGTGCTAGCGGCCAGGATGGTGGGAGTGGGAGTGGTGGAAAGCGGCGGGGGTGGCGCGCCCGACGGGTACTACGGCGACTATTACCCACCCGAGTACTACGTGCCGCCCGAGATGTGCCAACACCCGCAACAGCATGCTCAGCATGCGCACATGTGCACAGTGCACACTGAATACGGTATAACATATCTCAAGAATACTTTCTGTACCAAGTCATATCTTTCTTATATTGAAGTAAAGATGACAAGAGCACACAGTCCAACTGATGGTAAGTGGATACTGTAGGTCATAGACAACTACATTTATCATTGATTAAGGATGAAAAATGATGATCCTTGATCCCTGATGACTATGATCGAATACCTAGGAGAGCTTGGTCGGTTGGTAGGGTCATACTTCGACTCTTATGAGATCATACTGCGTCAACTACACTATGGCTCTACCACGTACAAACATTTTTTTTACCCTCGGCCGTAAGAATTTACTGTTGTACATGGGCCTCTCCCATTGTAGGGAGGATTTGTCTGAATGTTTGCTAAAATGACGCGGATTGGCCAACTGTTTCCACTCTTACATCTGCTATCCTATATTGCGCTTGCTTGCCAGTAAGCGGCAGCCACTCTAGAACCTTTCTTCCCCATCGGTTGTCGATTCTTCGAGCTATATGGCCGGCCCATTGCCATTTCAGTTTATTAATCCACTAATTAATCGTTCCAATATGGGCAAACTATTTAACGACACGCATTGCATTTATTGTAAAAACAGAAAACAAAAAATATTGTCGATCGCAGGTAAATAATTACAAAACATAACAAATGACTATGACTTCGTAAAGTTTATGTTCATTAGGTTTAATAGCATACTTATATTTGTAACACAGTACAATTTTTAATTCAGTGCAAATGTTTTCTTATTCGTAATGTGCTTTTTAATATATTTACTCATTTTCTTAATTGTTATGCATAAAAATTTTTTGTTTAACAGCTCAAATTATAAATAATAGGTTCGGGGAAAAGTTCCTTCGTATATTGTTTGTATCTGGCTGGTTTTAATATCAATACATATAGGACATTAAGATTTTTTTTATAGGAGCGACAGGGCAAACGAGCATGCGGCTCACCTGATGGTAAGTGACTACCGCCGCCCATGAACAACTGCAACACCAAGGGAACCAGGGGAACTGCAGATGCGTAGACGGCCTTTTAAAAAGGAGTAGGCTCTTTTCTTGGATGTTATGCGAGGAAGAAAACATCTTCTAATCCAGATGGTGTGGATGGTATCGGAAGCTCTGCCGCGATGTGCGTTCGTTAAATTTGGCGACTGGGATTAATCCAAACAATTCCTCAGAACACTCCCCTTGTGTAAATGCTAAAGAAAATGCAAAGGGATGCAACATCTCTTCGCAGTGCCAATGAATCGAGCCGATCGGAAAGGACTCGGTCGTCGACGATTCGAGCCGCTCTGCGCTGAATGCGGTCAAGTGGAAGAAACTGGCACTGGGGAGCTCCTGCCCAGAGATGGGAACAGTATTCCATGTGAGGCCGAACCTGCGCCTTGTAAAGTTGCAGGCGGTGTGCCGGCATGAAATACTGTCCCGCTTTGCTGAGCACGCCAAGCTTTTTAGAGGCCAATTTGGCCTCCTCTTCCAAGTGACCACGAAACTGCACGACACTCGGTATATCGACGCCGAGGATTCCGATACTGACTGAGGCAACAAGGGGAGTGCCTTGAAACTGAGGAGATAAGACAAAGGGCGTTAGCGGTAAACGCGCAAACTTGTATCTTCTGAGGATTAAACTGGACTAGATTTAGTCGCCCCCAATCCGAGACTTTGTTCAGCAAATACTCGACTTCAGACACAAGTTTGTTCCGGTACTCGGCGACGTTTTCCCGAGAAATATTGGCACGGCCGGTGTATAGAGCATCACCAGTGCTGTCATCCGCATAGCAATGAATGTGACCAGTTTGCAACATATCATTGATATGCAGAAGAAATAGCGTTGGTGATAGCACACAGCCTTGTGGAACACCAGCATTAATAGGCTTGTAGTCGGAGCATGCATCGTCTACAACATGATCTGATCTGATGCTCAGATCTGCAAGGAAGCTGGTGATCCAATTGCACAATTTCTCGGGAAGCCCATAGGAAGGGAGCTTCGAAAGAAGCGCTTTGTGCCAAACCCGATCGAAGGCCTTCGCATTGTCCAAACTAACGGCCAACGCCTCCCCCTTGGACTCTACTGCCTCCGCCCATCTATGAGTCAGGTAGACCAGAAGATCACCAGCTGATTGACCCCGATGAAAACCGTATTGGCGGTCACTAATCAGCTGGTGATCCTCAAGGTACCGCATGAGCTGGCAGTTAATAATGGATTCCATTATTTTGGTGAACAAGGAGGTGATGGCGATAGGCCTGCTGTTGGACGGGTCTGAGCGGTTGCTTTTTTTAGGGATCGGGTAGACAAAAGCTGTCTACCCGATCCCTAAAAAAATTCCATGATTTCGGGACTACGCCTAGGGAGTAGGAGTACCGGAAAAGACCCGTTAGAACCGGTGCCAACTCCGGAGCACACGTCCTCAGCACAATTGGGCGGATTCCGTCAGGCCCACTCGACTTGTGGATGTCCAGGGAGAGGAGTGCTTTGCGGACCGATCGCTGCGAGAACCGCACATCCACCATGGAGCAATCACACAGCGGGATGGTCGGCGGTGTGTTCTCCCCGTCATCAAGAGTCGAGTTGGACGCAAAAAGGGAGACTAAATGGTTGGCTTTCTCTTTTGCGGCGTGGGCCAGTGAGCCGTCCTCCTTGTGCAGAGATGGTAGTGATGGCTTACAGAAATTCCTTTTGACAGCCTTGACGAGAGACCAGAATGCACGGGTTCCCGAAGGAAGGTGAACTAGTTTCTCGCCAATTCTGCCTATGTGCTCTGACTTTGCCTTGGAAATAACTCTTTTGAAGGACCTGAAGGCGAAGTTATACTTCTTTAATCATGCTGGTGTTTACATCCCGAGCCGCCGAAGCCTCAGCCCAGGCCTGATAGCACTCCTGCTTACTGCGTAATGCATTCTTACAGGAGCAACCAAACCAAGGCTGAGATCTGCCTCCGATGGGTACCACAGATGATGGAATAAATAGTTCAATTCCCTGTAGCACCACATCAGTGACAGAGTCAGCAACAGCGCTGGGATCATCCGGTGAGAAGCAAACCCGCCCCCATGGGTTGGATGCAAAGAAATATCACTTTTTTTAATAAAACTACCTTTGTTTTTATGAACATACATTAAATTTTCGTAAATATACTGAGAGGCCAAAGTTAATATATTTATTTCTTTAAATTTATCTCTAAGAGACTCTCTCGGTTTTAGGTTGTAAATAGCTCTAATGGCCCTCTTCTGTAAAACAAAAATAGTTTCTGAATCCGCCGCATTTCCCCATAGCAAAATCCCATAAGACATTATGCTATGGAAATAACTGAAATAAACAAATCTAGCTGTCTCGACACTACTGAGACTTCTAATCTTTTTCACAGCATAGGCTGCAGAACTTAGTCTGCTTGCTAGTTTGGATATATGGGGGCCCCACTGAAGCTTTGCGTCGAGAGTGATGAGAAAAAGAAGAACAACAGTGGATTCAATAGGGTTTAGTTCTTCCCCATTTAAAAACACATTGATACTCAGATTTTTAACATTCGTTATTGTAAATGTAATATATTTAGTTTTATTTCCGTTTAAATGTAGATTATTAACGTTAAACCAATGCACTAATTTTGATATAGCATTATTCACTTCGTCATATTTAAATGATTGACGTTTATGTTTAAAAATCAAGGCAGTATCATCAGCTAATAATACTATATCATGATTATCCTCTACAAGAGAAGGTAACTCATTAATATACACTAGAAATAGGAATGGGCCGAGAATCGAGCCCTGAGGGACACCCATTAGTAGAGGTGAGCCGGAAGAACTTTTACCATTGATAATAACTTTCTGCATTTTATTACTTAAATATGAAATAATAAGTTTAAGCGCTGTGTTCTTGACACCATAGTACTGTAGCTTCCTGATTAATGTCTCATGGTGAACGCAGTCGAAGGCCTTGGAAAGGTCACAAAATATACCCAAAGCATCCTCTGAATTCTCTCTATGTTTAATAAGCTCAACTCCAGCGTCAGTTGTCGAGTGACGCCTTGTAAAAACGAATTGATTTCTATGTAGCAATTTATTAATATTAAAGAAACTTAACATCTGATTTAAAATTATTTTTTCAAAAATTTTACTAAATGTTGGCAGTACAGAAATTGGTCTAAAATTGGCGGGGACTAATGTACTACCAGATTTAAACAAAGGTATGACTTTACTATGTTTCATTAAATCAGGAAACACACCAGATTCGACGCTTGTATTAAATATAGTGGCTAGATAAGGTGCTATAATATCTATTATAGATAAAATAACTTTTACGGAAATCCCCCATAAATCTGCCGATTTTTTAACATCAATAGTTTTAAAATATTTAACGATATCTTTTGGCAGTACTCTATGGAATTTAAAAGTAGTTGAACAAACCTTTACATTTTGTTTGAGCAATGATTCGGCGACAGTAGGAGAAGAGTTTAATGATTTAGTTGTCAAAAAAGGAACATCAGTAAAATGTTTCTCAAAAGCCATAGCAACTTCTTGATCAGATCGAGTTAAATTATTGTTAATATTCAATTGAAAATCCGAGTTGCGCGGTTTGCCCTTGCCCGTTTCACTATTTACGAGTATTATTCTCCAGGTCATTTAATTTTGTTAGATGCAGTTTTAATTTTGTTACTTAAATGTAAAGCCTTAGCTGTGGCGCACACTTTTTTAAATATTTTAGAATATGTTTTTACATAATCTCTAAATATAACACTACTATTATATGATCTTTCATTATAAAGCTCGTATAACTTTCGCTTACCTAACTGACACCTAACTTTCGAAAATTATAAATTGAATAGGAATAACAAATTAAATCACCCTAAAAAGAAAGACATTCCAATGTTAGTTAGTTACGTTGCCTTGCGTAATTACTCATCTCAAGAGTTTTGAAATGTGTTATTGAAATAATAACCCTTTACTTCGTCGAAACAAACGGGCTCCAAGGTTGTTGTTGAATTCCTCAGACGTTGCTTAAATGTATGCGGTCG